CTGGAGAGAGGGAATTCCTGGCTGGTGATTCAGGTTGGAACCTCCAGAGAATCCTCAGGGTCCATTTATAGGAAAAGGCTGGGTGGTCAGTTTTCCAAGTGGCCTTTTGGGGCTAAGTCTGTATTCTTGGCTGCCATAAGCCATGCTGTAATCTAGCCAACAAAAGAAAGAATTTAGTAACACATAAGAGCCCATCTGTTATTATCCCCAGGATTTGGGCCTCTAGCCCCAACCATACAGAGATGAGTGGCAGAAAATAGCAATGTCAGCCCTCTGTTGATTAATGTCCAAACCCAGAGAAACTGCTTTTGTGGTCTGGCTCCTAGAGGAGAGAGTCATTTTCTTGGACTTTCCCTCAACAGCTTTGAGCATTCTTATTCACGTACCTAATCGTGCAGCACCTACCCCAGCATCATCTGGCTGACAATATTCAGAGGTCACTTTTGGTACTTATTTAAAATAAGAAGCTATTTGCAGAACATTAAGAAGATGGAGTGATGGAATATATAGTCTGTTCTACAACAGTATTTGAAGCAGAACCATCGTTTTAAGAATATATATTTTGTCAGTATGGTAAGAGTGATTAGCAAAGGATGAATGTCAGTTATTACAGAGTTTTGGAGATTAATAGATTGTTAATGCTGGCCAAATTAATTAGAAGATAAAATTGAGCCTGAGGACCAATTTAAGAGGGAGTACATAATCACACATGTACACACATATACACATACACAATAGCTCTACCTTTTATTCTATGCATAAGAATTGAAGAGTCATTTGTTGTCAATTAAGTTATGGTGCTATGTGTTCAGATGGCCCTACCCTCAAGGTCCCCACGGCCTGGGGTGATGAGATGCAACGACAAAACTTGAGGTCAATGACAAGATGCTAAATCTGTCAACAGACTGCTCTGGGAGCACAAAAAAGACAGTGATTAAGTCTGCCCTGGAAGGAGTGGACAAGTCAGAGATAGGTGCCTATCTTTAAAAATACTTACTTTAGAAGGTCCTGATCTGAGCCTCACCTGCATGTTCTCCCAATTTCCATGCATTCCGTTGCCTATTAAATATAGTCCAGGTAACTGGGACCTTGGAAATCTTTTCCTATGTATCATCTCCTTCCTGCTTCCAGGGCTTCAGCAGGCCTGGTCCCTGGATCTGTTCTCCCAAGGACAGGCCATGCTGATAGTGTGACCCCACAGGCCTGAGGCATGTCCCAGATGAACTTGCATATGTGGGCTGGGGTATTCACATACATGCATACAAGACTCCTTGCAGGGCAAAGCTGGGGGAGAAGGAGAAAAGAGGGACAAGAAATGTGGTCTAGGGGTCATTTCTCTCTGGTCCCTATACCCAGCCAAAACTTCCAAATTCAAATCAGGCCTCCTAGATTGTCATAAAGGTATATGTGTCAGGTGGAGGAGTAGCTGCTGAGTATTGGAGTGTGTGGTGTGACGACCTTTATTTGTCCTCTAACCCCTGGTTCTGCATGTGTTCGAGTGGGCTGTGGGGAATGGTTCCCAGAAGTAGAGCCATTTGAGATGGGCTTTGAAAGCATAAGTGTTCGCTCTGTGTTCGGGCCAGCTGTGGGTGATCAGTGGCATGTCTCTGGGTCAGAGTTCATGGTGGAAGAGGCAGTAGATATGCCCACCAGTGAATGCCATGGCATTGGGATTCCAGCTGTAGGCCATGAGAAATCTTTGAAGTCTTGACATGATTCTAATGGGGTTTTGGGACAATGACAGCAGAATAGAAGGAAGAGAGATTTGAGGCCAGGAGGTCAGTTGGGAAGCTCTTTCAGAGGTCTGTGCCATGAGGTTTATGGCTTGAACAAAGGCCATGTCGGCTGGCTCTCCTCCAGCCATTGATGCTGTCTTAGTGGCTACTCTGCTCTCAGTGATGACAAAGCTTTCTCTGAGACGTGAAGCAGCCCCAAGTGAAGGAGCATAAAAGAAAGCAGCCTAAGGAAATGCCCTGTGTTTAGAAAATAAAATTCCTTCTTATCTAAGAATAATCTATCTAAAGCCCAAAGTACCACTTGCTTTTCATATGTGTGATAAACTTCAAGATATATCTATCCTTTCTATCACCATCATAATAAGCTTTGGGCTATCAGGAAATGGCAAAATAATCAACTTTTGTTTAACTGGTAAAATTACTTTGTTTATGCTATTCAAGGCTTCTCTTCTCTTTGCTTCTATGGGTTCAACTCTGCCTAAACATACATGTATTCGCCATGAGCCAGCTAGCTAGCTAGCTTGCTCGCTTGTTTTTCCTTTTATTGTTTTTTTTTTTTTTCCTTTATGGGACAATGAATACAGTATTTTCTTGCATGGCTTGAGATGTATGGCTAGAGTTTAAATAAAATTGGCATGACTAGAAGCACGTGTCACAGAGACCTTCATGTTCCAGGAATAGGACATGAAGTGTAAGGACTAGGAAATGGAAGTTTATAGAATGGGGCAGGAAGTGTGTAAGCATTTTCCATTCCTAAAAGACTCAGGTTAAGTATGGTGCCCTGACCCAGAGCAGCTGTCTGACACTTCTGCCTCATGTGCCAGGGATCTCTCGTGGTTTCTCCTGAAGGACATACAACTGCTTCCAAATGCACAGGCAGCATTTACGGAACTGTGCGTTCCTATGTGCCATATACCAGAAACTAGCCCTGGCCCTTACTTAGCAAGTACTGGCTATGAGTATCAAGTTTAAATTTGTACATAGGATAATTTTAGTCATCTCAAAATGTCTTTTTTATGTCCCTATTAGTTATGTTGTATATGACATGTGACAATATGTATGTTAAACATTATGTGCAACTGTTCAACACTTTGGGATAGAGTGTGGAGGTTATTCAAAGGCTACCCTATAAAATCATTTAGACATGTCTTCCTTTGATTTGTGCCTCAAATATTTATCAACTCATTTTTTGGCCAGGCTTTGTGCTAGGCTTTGGGTGTGCAATGGAATACAAATTAGAATTGAGTCTTGACCTTGTAGAGTTTTTAATCCAGCCTGCAAAGCAGACATCTAGAGCAGCAATATGAAGAAAGCATGAGAAGGGTTTCTTGGGAGCCATTTAGGGTATGATAAGGGCCTCAGCCAAGACACTGGACTGAATGGGGAGAGAAGGGAGTGGAGGAAGGCTTTTAAAGGAAACAGCAGCTAATCCATGGCCTCAAGAGTGAGGAGTGTCAAGCAAAATAGAATAATAAGAATTATAGGCAGAATCGATCACATGAGTTAAATACTAGATGCAAGAGAAAACTTAGCAGGTCAAGAAAAAATTTTTTAAAAAATCAACATGGTTGAAGTATGATATGTGATAGGGTCTAGATGGGAGAGGGTAGAATAGGTAAGATAAGTCTAGAAAGATAGATTGTCATCAGTTCAGAAAAGTTATATTAAATCTCTATCTGGAGAGCAATGTCGAATTAGTGAACTATGTTAAGCAGGGGAAGGGTTACCATTGTGGCCACAAAGCAGAAAAGGAATTGGGTGGATGAGACTGAAGACAGAGAGAATAGTTAGAAAGCTGTTGGAATAATGCACGTTCAGGATGAGGGGATCAGTGGTTTCAGCTTAGAGGTACCTGCTGACAGTACTTCCCTGACCCCAGCCTGAATGAGGTCCCCAGGACATGTCTCATAGGTCTCACAGCACCTTGGATTTTCCCTGTATGGCACTTAATTAGAATTTATGATTATGCATTTCCTTTGTAATTATTTGTTTTATGGAATGTCTTCTTTACTACACACTGAAGTATGCCACAAAGTCAGACTTATTAGCAGCCGTAATACTGGCACCTAGAACACTACCTTGAAAATAGAGAGGATTCAATAAATATTTGTGAATGAGTGAGTGGAGAGATGAATGAAAATGAAGGGAAGTGGAGAGATCTGTGAGATACCTGGGAGGTGGAATGAACCACTTGGTGGTTGCTTGGATGAGGCTCTGATGAGGGAGAAACAGCTGTCAAAAGTGACTCCCAGATTTCTGACTTGAGTAGCCAGGCAGATAATGGTGCCATTTATGGAGAAAAGAGATACTTAGAGCTAGCTAGAGAGGAACGTGGGGGAAGTAGGTTTTTGGCAGGAGGTGAATTATAAATTTAGCAGGCCAACCTGAGTATCAGATTCTGTTTTAATACTGGAAGCTACATTTCAAGTTGACCTACCAAAAAAAAAGTGACAAACCAAAAGAGCAAACCAACATCAAACAAAAAAATCAACGTAGTAGAAATAGGGATGAGCAAATTGTTTTTACTTTATTGTTCAGTTTTCCACAGGTTATCCTTTCTAATTATTTTATTTTAACAGACAAAACAATTCATCAAATTGTTAGCATGCAACCTGTCTGTGTATTAACATAGTGACTTTATTCCACAAAAAGTCACATTTTCTTTAATATGAATTATTGCATTTTTATATTCACAAAAGCATTCCAAGTCAAGAAAGCAACATTAGGGTATCAGGAATATGGTAGAAATTATTTTACTTTGGTAATCTTTTTTATCTTAGTACATTTTTGTGATCAAAATGGAAAATTAAAGAAAATGTTAAAGCTCTTTCCTGTTTCCTTATTTTTATTATTAAATATTTCCAAGGCATACTTCTCCAACTTGAAGATGTTCATTAAAGTCATCAAGGATCTTTGACATACCATATTGTCCTTTAAATCATAGCTCTTATGGTGGTTGGAGGAAATGTAATATTCCTGGTGAGGACATAACACATCAAAACTTGATTTATGAATAGCAGTATCTAAACGTTTTTGTAAACTTTACTCTCCAATAGCACAGCACAGATGAAAAGAAACCAAATCCTCTGAAACTTTATCATAAATTTCAAATTCCAGTTGTGGGGGATATGTTTGAGTTGCAATGAGGGCAATAATCCCAGAATGTGCTGACTTTAGATTTCATGAAAAAAATATTAGATTGATTCTGATTTAATTAATTTTCTTCCTTGTTTCTCTTTCTTCTCCTCTCTTTCCTTTTTGTAGGTGGCTCAGAAATGTATTCCTTTCCTAATCGGGTATTTGAAAGATTCAACCCATAATGATGTCATCCTAAACATCCTCATAGAGATAGCAGGCTACGAACCTGTGGCTTTGAATGGTTTTCTTCCAATGCTGAAAGAGATTGGTGAGAGATTCCCCTACCTCATCGGACAAATGGCAAGACTCTATGGAGCTGTGGGGCATGTGGATGAAGTAAGTTTGGCTTTTTTCTCTCTGTTTCCCTAAATTCCATTGCTGCTTCATCCATTGGGGCTGTTGGACCTCCAAATTTGTCCTGGAACTTCTCAGAGTTCCCATTTCTCTTTTAAAACCTTTTGCATGGACAGTGGTCTTTGGATCAAGGACGCATTATAGCAGGGCTAGGTGGAAGGTTCAGGAAGTAAGGATCTCATTGCTGGAGTGTCACCTAGGGAAGGGGAAGGATTAAAATGGAGAAAGCACTAGGACAGACTCAAGGTCACTTTGTAATAACAATAACCAAAAAAGGGTTGTGTCTTATTTCTGGTTGCAGTTTTGCTCAATGAGAAAACCATCAGGAAGCATAAGGTTAGGTCTCAGACATACCTATTAATAAGATCCCATAGCTATACAGTCAATAAATGCCCGAATTCAGTATCTTTTGAGCCCTCTGGATGATGTTACTTGGAAGAGTGAAATAAACATTTGTGCATGTTTAAAAGGCCTAGCCTAAATATTTGCATAATAGAATCTTTTGGCAGGAACAGCAGGATGCCATCAGTTTGTGGGGATTAGGCGACCAAGAAACCATTTCCAGAAATTCAGGTTCTGAAGGGTATGCTTACATGCATGTCTGTCTGATGATTTTACATTGGGATTTAGGATTTTTATCTTTTAAAATTAAAGTAAATATATAATTGATAGAAGGAAGCTTTTACTTTCACCCACTTACATATAATACAGTTTCCTATAAGATAGATATAAAATTGTACAACTCTTAAAAGGGAATTCATGGTTCATCAACTTCAGTCCCTTAATTCTAAAAACTAGATAAATTGAGTGATTTACCCAAACTGAGACTGGGTCAGTTGGTGACCCAGCTGGAGTTATATCTTTGTTATCCTTGGCACTCTTTTTAAAGTTTGCCTTAGAATGGACATTTGGTTCTGTTTTATTTTATTTCTGCTGAGATTTGCAGATGGCCTAGTGAATAAGAGGCTTCTTTCTGGTGGAGGGACTTTCTCTAGCTTCCCAGAAAAAGGTGGGAGAGCAGAGCGGTCAAGCAGCTTGTAACTGTCAACATGAGGGGGGATCTTGTAAAAGGATTACTTTGGTGTGGACATGCTGCTTAATATAATCCTGTCCTATCCACTGTTGTTGGGAATGTCTCACACCTGCCATGATTTGCTTTCTGGTAACACTTTGCCGTGCCTGTCACCTTTGCTGCCAGAGGAACCCACTGGTGTGCCCAAGTACTTTTAGAACAACTTCAGCTGACAGCTGTTCAACTGAATCTGCTGACCTTGCAGATTTTTGTAGGTACCAAAAAATGCAACCTCTGATGTTTGAGGCCCTGGAATCTTTAAAACTCGTCCTGCACATTAATGGTAGTTGTTTTCATCACAAATACACTTATGATTCATTAATGTGTTATAATGCACACTGGAAGTGAATGAACTTCCCACAGAAAATGTAATCTGGTTAAAAAAAAAACAAACAAACTAGCCACATACAGTTATGTCACTGTAGGTTTACCTGAACTAAGGCTAACCTGACAGAGAGTTGCCTGTTAGGATGACATTTGTGTGACTCTGGGTGGGTGCAGAGAAAAGGAGAGGAGATCCAAAGAGCCTGAAGAATCACTTATTTCAGAGTTCAGAGTATCAAAATATTTGTCCCTCCCACTCCCCTCAATCTCGCATTCTCATATGTCCATGAAGGCATCTGTGTTTGAGGGAGAAAATTCTTTTCTGGTGGTTCTGACTCACCTTCCCAGCAAAGAACAATTCCAGATCAAATACCTTCCAAATATACCTAGATATCAGGATTGCATGGGGAGTTTTTAAATAATATAAGTTCATGAGACTCATAGAAAATCTACTAAATCAGAGTCTCCAGGAAGGGGACGCAGCAATCTGGATTTGTAGGAGTAATTCTGATGCAGCTGTCAGGATCAGTATTTGAGATCCCTTGACGTAAAATATTTAAAGCATATTCCATCTTAGATTTAGAATCAGGTCTTCTCCATCACTCTTTCTCTTTCCTCCATCAAGCTATGTCAATCAATTAAAACTTTCCCAGACTACTGATACAAGCAGTTTAGATTAGGTTTGGTTGAGAGTAACACAAAAATTCAACACAATAGTGGCTTAAACAAAGACAGTCATTTATTTCACTCACATTTAAAGAAGTCTTGGAAGCAGTCTGTCTAGAAATTCATGTTTCAGAGACCCACCCTTGAGCACACCAGAGAACACATAACTTCCGTGTCACAGTCCAAGGTGGTTATTTATCCTTACCCATCAGGTCAGTATTTCAGCCATCAAGGAGGTGAAAGGAAAGAAAGAAAGTGACTATCTTCCAGATAGTCAAATACAACCTACTATTCATATCCCACTGGCTACATAGAACAAAGTTACATGTGACCACACCTAGCTGCAAGGGAGGCTGGAACATGTAGTCTGAATTCAGGTGGTTACATATCAAGAGAGAAGGGCGGAAATAATGATAGAGGGCAAATAATGCCTCTGTTGCAGCTTGTCAAGTCAGAGTTTGTTTTCTCTCCTCAAAAATAACATCCTTACACAGGTTTACCTTCCTTCTGCTCCAATAGTCTTCATTTCATTATTGTATTTCATTTAAGGTCAGCCTGACCAAATCATCTATAAATGTCAGTATGGCTCCTTTACTGAGAAATAATGTTCTTTTTATTTGTTTCTAACCCCTAAAATATCACCATTAGAAACTCTTTCTTTTGACTTTAAAGAATGATAAAATTTGGATGTCCCAAGAACATGTGTAGTAATCTAAGCAGCTCTTAATGGGTTCATTGGGGAACCTGTTCAACTTTCTAAAAATCTCACGGAACCATTTCCCAAAGACCAAAACCAGCAAGGAAGATATATATGTATGTGTATTTCTACCCAACTCATTCTAAAAGGAAACATGAAGTTACTGAAGTACATTGCCAGGTGGGCCTGAGGGCAGAAGTTAGAGTCCTGGACACCTATGGAGAAGGGAATTGCAGTAAGGAGGGAGCAGCAGGAATTTTGCCTCAAAAAAAAAAAAAAAAAAAAGCAAAAAAACAAAAAAAACCACCATTTTCTGAATGGAGAACTTGGTCTATAGTGAGATAAAGAGACATGGGAATATATGAGACATGGAAATATTTAGAGTATTAATGATAAGACAGCCATGGGACCCTAGTAACCTCAGGTCCTGGTCCTCTCTCTCATCCTGTCCTGTCTAAAAATTGACTTCATTTAGAAATTTTTCTCCTTGCACCAAAATAGGATTTTCAGATGTATTCAGGGTTTTCAAGTATCAGATGATGACATTGCTAGGATTTAAATGATTTTAGAAATGCAGAAAAGCAAATCCAACTTTGAGGATCTTCCTCCAACTTTGAAATGCATGATCTGTGACTGACTGGAGCATACTGTTCCATCCCTCCCTTATTGCCTGGCCTCCAGAAAACTGAACTGTTAGATCCTTAAGAGAAATAGGTGAGACTCCTGGGAGTATGCAGTCATCAGGCCAGGGAGAGTCTTGGAGTAGAGCTAGCCTGGAATCAATTCCATGAATTATTAATCAACTTATGCCTCAACTTCTGTGCTTGCATGAGGCCAGGAATGAGAACTTCAAGGCCTGGATACAGAGAACCAGACCAGATGTGCCTGTCTTTCATATCAGGGCCCATGTGGGTGGGCACACTGTTATCAGCACCTTGAGAGCAATATAACAGTGTTTCCATCTGCATTGCAAACAGCAGGGAAAGTTGTGTATATAAACCAAAAACTAAAACCCTACAGATCATTATTCTCTCTATCTCTCAAATGACCTCAGGGATCTTTTTTTCACTCAAACTTAAAGGAAACTGAACTTAATAGCTGTGTGGTGCTTGTGTCACTATAGAAGGCAACAGAGTGCCTCATGAACCATTTTCAGGTTTGTGCTTACACCCAAAGCACATCTACTGGATAGAGAATAAAAAGGAAGGACCATAGGCCAGAGAAACATGCTTCTGGGGCAATGATGCTTTCTTGTCCCTGAGGTGCTCTTTCCTTGGCACTATCAAGTAAGGCACACAAATTGTTTCCATCATGCCAGGATTCACCCCAATTATGTGGGATGCTCAGTTGAAGCAGATGCACGAGTAAGAAATATTACTACATTAGATGTGTCTTCACATTAGCCAAAATGCACAGGTCCTTTTGTCTTTCTCCAATGAGAAGATTGCAATGGAGACCTTAGGAGACAATAGCAGCTCCTAAGAATCCAACCCCAAAGTGCCTAGCAGTTTGGTGCCAGCTACCACATCTCTGGACAACACTTGATTGACTCAATGCAAGACCAAGGAGGCCCTAACCTGACCTAATAACCACACAGGGACCAAACCCTGCCCACAATGGGAAAAGAGAGCCATTACAAATCATTGGGCTTAAAGCAAAGGTGGCTCAGGCACAACAGTAGGGCACACACAGCAGGCACTCTTGAAGCACCAGGTTCTGGTGAACAGGGGACAGTGCCCTGCAGGGCACTACAGAAACTCTTCTTCATAAGGCCACTACTTCCAAGAACAAGAGATGTAGCTGACTTTCCTAACACACAGAAACAGACACAGAGAGTTAGACAAAATGAAGAAATAGAGGAATATGTCCCAAATGAAAGACCAGGACTAAATCAAAGCAAGACAACTAAACAAAACAGAGGTAAGCAATATGCCTGAGAAAGAATTTAAAGTAATGATCGTAATGATACTCAATGGGCCTGAGAAGAGAGTAGAGGACCTCACTGAGATGCTTAACAGAGAGATGGAATACGTAAAAAAGAACTAATTACAGATGAAGAACTAAGTAACTGAAATTTTTAAAAATACAAGAGGAAATAAATACTAGACTAGAGGAAGCATAAGAACGGATCAGTGACCTGGAGGAGAGAGTAATGGAAAGCAATCAAGCTGAACAGGAGAGAGAGAGAAAAAATAATATAGACTGAAAATAGACTTAGGGAAC